AATTATTCCTTCTTCCTCCAAGAGTTTTAAAAATTCAGCTTCGATATTATCAAGCCCTACAGCTTTCCTACTTTTCATCCGTTTTATTGCTTCTTCTACCTCGGATTTAAGTATGTCCGGGCCCGTCATCCTCTCTGAAAATGGATGCCTATAATCCGTTCTTTGATCTTGAAAAAGTGTCTCCAAATATATTCCCATTTGTCTTTCATCTCTTGGGTGACAATGATTAATGTTCCGTTGGTGTCTATGAGTTTCATTTGTGTTCGCTTTTTAAAAGTACCCGTTATTTCTTTTACCTTTTTGTGTACATTAAAATTGTCATACTTCGCTTGTAGTCTTTCTATTTGTTTACATTTCTCTACAGCTTCTTTTTCTTTAGCTTCTCTTATTTTTCTTCTGATGTAAGCCTGCATTTTTTTATACTCATCTTTATTTCCTTTTATTAACCTTCTGCGTTCTATTAAGTGAAGGATTTCTGGAGTCATCCAAGATTTCTTCTTCGTTTCTTTGTTTGGTTTTAGCAGATCTTGTTTAGTTTTCTTAATTATTTCTTCGAATTGATTGATTTCTCGTTGGATGTTATTTTCTTCTTTTAGTTGTTTAACTTGGTTGTTAATATATTCCCCCACTTGCTTTTTAACGTCCGGATGTTGCAGGATTGTCATGTCGTAGTTAGGTCTAGACTTTTTCTTTATTGTCTTTAGTCTCACATCCATGACTCCCACTAAATGTATGTGGTCAGATTCTATGTCCGCTCCTGGATATGTTTTGACAGATTTAAAACTGTTTCTGAATCTTCTATTTACCAATATATAATCTATCTGGTTTCTAATTACGTTATCAGCTTTATCTGCTGGTGCCTTCCATGTATATAATCTCCTCGGTGGTAGTTTATAAAATGTGTTCAGAACCACGAGCTTGTTATCTTCTGCGAATATTTCTAGTCTGTCACCTCTTTCGTTTCTTTGTCCTAACCCAAAAGGTCCGATTAGAACCGTTTTCCGTTCTGCTCCAAGTTTTGCATTGAAATCCCCCATTATGATGCTGACTTCATGTTTAGGTATTCGTTCTAATATATCCTCTATGCTTTGGTAGAAAGTCTCTACTTCCTCATCGTCTTTATCTGCAGTGGGAGCGTATATTTGTATTATGTTTACATTCACTGGATTGGCTCTTATTTGCAGTAGTATTACTCTGTTGGACACTGGGACAAAATTTAAAATACATCTACTAATTTTTCTCGTTATTATCACACCAACTCCATGCTCTAGTTTTCCATCTAGTGACCCTGAATAGAATATTCTGTGATCTTTTTTGTCAATGCTTCCTGTTCCGGGCCATCTCATCTCACTTATTCCCATTATGTCAATGGTCATTCTTTCCATTTCCTGAATGGCATTGTCTATTTTTCCACTCCTTGCCATAGTTTTCACATTCCATGTGCAAATTTTTAAAAATTGTGGTTAAAAATAAACTAGACGCTTTTGAAATGTGGGTGTACTGCCACATGTTAAGAATATCCTGGATTGATCATCGCACTAACGTATCGATATTAGAACAACTTAAAGTTAAGCATAGGTTGCTTAAACAAATACAACAGAGATATTTTGTATTGCAAATATGAAGATCTCCAAGCCGTTGGGTAGATCAAACAAAATATTGATTAACCAAGGGTTACATGAAGCCGAACAACTAGCCCAGGACAGGAAGGATGGAGCGAAATCGTGAAAAAACTTATTTTAAATACCTGAACATATATGTGTATTATTATTTGCACTCAGCTATTCGCATCTATTAATGGCCATAGCTTTTCCTAAATATTTCAAATTTTCTTTATTGTGGACTGTTTGCAATCAGTTGGTGGCTATCGTTCCGATATTATGTTTGAGGGATGTGGTCTATCCCTATCAAAAGAAATGTAAAATGCATTTCTTATTATAATCAACTGTGGTTTAAACTAATGTTTAGCATGAGAAATACCCAGCTGAGTCAATATAATTACATTAAAACAAATAACAAAATAAAAAGTATACTTATGTGCTTATAGAACAGGGGAGGCCAACCCATCGATCCCGATTGACCCGTCGATCGGGGCCCTTAGGTCAGTCGATCGCGGGCAAGGAAAATAATCTCGGAACAATAATATAGATATTACGAAACTTATTGGAGTGCTAGCAATCTTGCATCGATCATCGCGAGACATATTACTTATGAAGTGTCCACTCTACATGAAACTATGTTATAGTATATGTACTATACATATAGTGACTATAAATGGGTAGCCGCTCTCTTTCCCTTTTCATTCTGCTATTTTTATTACGCTAGTATAAAAACGAATCAAATTATGGCAAAAGAAAATTGATGCTGATTAATCTGCAATATATCACTACCGATACCGAAAAAAAGGAAATTTAGAGCGTCACTTCAATACAATGCACGGTAAATACCAACAAAAGTTTCCACCTCAAAGTGAAGTGAGAAAGAATACAAACATTAAAATCTCTTTTGGCTGCCCAGGAAAATATGTTCTGTAAGCCAAATCAACAGTCTAAGGCTGTAACTAAAGCTTCATTCTTAGTTTGTTATAAAATTGCGCAAAAGTGTAAGCCGTTTTCTGATGAAGAATATGCCAAAGAAATATTCGAAAATTTATCAGATTTACTGATTGTTAATTTCAAATATAAAAATGAAATAAAAAAGGATACATGATCTGCAGCTGTCAAAAAAATACTGCGATGCGTCGTATAGAATTGTTGAGTAAAAATCTTAATGAACAATTGCAAAGAGATCTAATAAGGTGCGTTGCTTTTTCGTTGCAGCTTGATGAGTCGATGGACATCATGGATGCTGCACAGTTACTTATTTTCATTCAGATGGTCTTTGATGATTTCTCATCAAGAGAAGAGTTGCTAACAATGATATTTTTAAAAGGCAGAACAGGTGGCATTGATTTATTCACGGAATTTTGTCGGTAAGATTAATTTACTTTTTGGCAATTTTAAATTCCTTAGATTTTTACAACCAAATCTTGTCAAAAGTAATGCACCGCTTAGCAGACTAGGCATTTTTATGGTACTTAGAGATAATTGTCAAAAATAAGTGGACTCAGGACCAGTTTTCGCAATAGATGATCAACTTACGTTGTATTAAGGTTGACTCCATTTTCGACAGTACATAAAAAGCAAAAGAAGTCATTTTGGCTTAGAAGAATTAAATAATTGGTATACATCCGTTCGTCATTGCGAGTTTCTATTGATACAAAAGACTTTCCTTACAGGCCCTATTCGTCCAGATAGGGAAATTCCAAAAGAATTAATATTGATTCCATTAGATAGACAACAATCATGTTTTGTTCGCAAGGATATGTTCCTTCTAGTTCGCTACAAGAACAAGAAAGACGTTTCTCTGCGTTTAGTAAACATACTGCAGGATTTTGCGAAAAAGAACAATATGTTGTAGGAGGAAATGTAATCAAAATATCTGATCAGTTGATGCAGCGGACCAAGCGTACAATCCTTTGCGGAAATCCTACACGTAGTTCACTAAAATAGGTTTGCACCTTTTACATCTTATGCTATTGAACTCTAGAGTATTTTACAGCCAAGCCCATCAAAAACAAGTTTTAATGTATAAATTTACAAAACTCTGCTGCCAGGAGATACTTCTGAAATATAGTAAAATATATCAAGAAATAAATAATAAAAAAATCAACCTACTACATCTGGGAAATCGTTGCATGCAATGGCCGATTTTCCAAAAAAAAAAAAAAAAAATGGAAAAAAAGTTCTCTACGAAAAGTTTGTGTAATTTGTAAAATACGTGGAGTGCGGAAAACTAATGAGAAAATGTTGCATTGCTTGCCCGGACAAACCTGGACTGTGCTCAGCGGAACATCTTGAAAGTTTTCATAGTAATAAAAATAACGTTCTTTTATTTTTTGCTTTGTTCTAAATATAATTAAAATGTTCATTGTCTTTTTATATATGTTTTATTTTTTAATATTTGGCGTGACTTTATAAATTAAATACATAAATACATTTTAATGATATTCAGATGTGGATATTTTGGTAGTACAATTGATATCCAAGGGTGGATATACTGGTACGACCAAATATCCTTATGTGGATATTCTGGTAAACACTATAAATTGTCATATAAATTCAAATTGCTTCAAACATTTTTTTGGCCCCCATAGGTAAATATCTCTTGTATTATAGATCATAACTGTCGTAAAATATATTTTCATTAAAAAACTTTTGCTGGTATACAGCTTCTTATAATAAAAATGGCCTGGAGCGGAAGGGGTTAACGACGGAAACAAACCCATTTATTTCGGAATGAAATTTAAAAAAAATTATAACCATAATTGCTGTATGAATATTGAAATGTTAAGATACCAAATACAAGGGGCATCGAAAATTAGACAAAATAGAAATTAAACATTAAAATTTGAGCTCCAATTGTTTTGGTTTTTAGGATAAAAACAAAACAATAAACAAAAATAAAGGGTCAGTATAGTAATTTCAATTGTTTAAAAATAGGAAGAGAAAATAATTGATCGAAAATTAAGGAAATGTAAAACAAATAACCTGTTACGTTATGTAGAACGTAACAGATCGTGAATGATATCACTTTTTGATGATAGAAGTTAGGACTAATCGCAGTTTTTAACAATCGATGCGTTTTTGCCTCTTTCAATTTATTTTTAATTCTTTCATTTATTTTTTTAATTCTTTTTACAATTTTTATACATACATAAATTCTGCTTTGCAATAAAATTGTAACTGAAATTTTTCATTATATTTGGAATAAATATAAACGACTTATTGTTGCCACTCACAGTACCATTAGCTAATAAAATTATATTAATATTATTATTTTTTAACTTGCATATTGGTTTTTAAATTTTAACAAAATATACATTTACATATTTTATCTGTACATCGTTTCCTTCCTGGATATTATAAAAACGACCACAGAAGTAAAAATGCCAGTAGTGGTGTCAAGACTTTCAAGATGAGTAGACTTGTGATACTTCTTATTGTCACTGTATTTGTCGAATATAGTTTAGGAGGTATGTAAAAAATTATTAATATCAAATATATAGATAAGTTGTTATTTTTATTATCATTTTTCTATTTATAAAGAAACAGTTTTCTTGCAATTTTATATATATTTTAATCTTTTATTCAATCATTTATATATATTTTAAATATTTAATTAAATAAAATTATATTTATTTTTAATACAATAAATACTTCTCAACAGCAAGCAGTCAATAAAAATGATATACTCATTTATATTGACAATGTAAACATAGATTATACATTTTAAAGTAGACGACTTTAAAATGATAATGCCAATATTACTAAGTTGCGTTCATGGGACGACTTTATTGTAAGATAGTTAATTAGTTTACATTAAATCAACATTAACTTGAGAATATCCATCAGAAACAATCATAGCATGTAATTCGTCTTCAAAAAGACAACCACATGCCATGATAGTTCAGTTAAATTGTATTTTTGCTAGGAAAATTTTGGGGTAGTTCTGATTTTTTTCATTTCATATGTTTTTTTGGGGTGCTTAATCCGAATCTGAGGTTTGCGGACTAAATTTCGTGACGCAACATTAAAAAAAAACAGAATAAACCGTTTTTTTTTCTTCTTTTTTTGTTTTTCTTGCTTAAAACTCGAAAACTATCAACTTTTGGAAAAGGTCTGTTTACAGAAATTAAAGTACTTGAAATTTTCTACAAATACCAGTATTTAGTTTTTTTTTCAGACGAATCGTTCGGTTTCTAGTGCGAGTTGAAAATTGTAAATTTTTAGCATTTTATGCAAAACCCACTTTTTACATTTCAATATTTAATTTTTATGGATGCTGTCATTTAATAAATGTCACCTAGTTTTCCACACAAGTAATTAAAATGAAAAAAGGGAAAAATTATGCAAATTCAGTAGGTAGGTAGAACTCGTAACAAAATAAAACTTAAAATCGCGTTACTTATGATCATATATTATTATGATTATAAATTATAATATGCAAAATTTATATGAGCCGTTGTCTTTTGGAAGGCACTGGCTGAGGTTCTTCGATAACGATGAGTCCTGGTTCTGCTTGTTCTGGAAAATAAAAGTTTAAAGTTAAGTCATTTATCAAGAAGAGATGAAGGTTGCAAAATAAATTGTGAGATACCTTCCGCATCGTAGCGAGGTTCTTCGATGGCATCGGGTCCTGGCTCAGGGTCTGATTGCTTCATCGTCGGCGTTGGGAGTCGTTCTCCTGGAAAATAAAAAGAGGAGAGACACATGTCATATATCAAGGAGAGATGAATGACTACAAAATAACTTGTCAGATCCAACATACCTCTCCCTCTTTCTTCAGTTTCTTCTACGTCTATGTCAGAGCTGTCTTCTGGGGGCTCAACATTGTTACACAGTCCTTCGCATGATGCGCATATTGGGAAACAATGGAGTCCCGCCTTCCTGCATCCACAATTGCGTTGACAGCCCTTTTTACATTTACATGAAATGTACCGGAGTATTGAGTTTGGTGCAGGGTCCAAAGTAGTTGGTACTGGCACAAGACCACTACTAGTTTTTGCCATCCCCACTCACTTGGGTCTTTTTGTTGCTCGTTAGGTGTGGCTTGACCGGATTACCACTGCTGCACCTGATAGTAAACTCTCAGTGAATGTTCTCGTGCAGCAGCTCCAGTTGGGGGCAATGAGGAAATGTTGGTCTTATTTTTTAAAGATGAAGATACGTATTGTTTATATCTTAAACCGTTTAGTTTTGTCTCTTTTTTTTCCATATAGAGCCGTGCGAAACATGCTTCCTGTTGTGGCAATCTCATCTTGACTTGAATTAGGGTCTTTGAAAGCTTCAATTACCGATTGCAAATCTTTGTTCTTCTGCAGGACTTTAAGAAATTTCAGTTTCCCTTGATTAAACAATGCAGAAGTAGTATCACAACCACTCGTCGCAAGCAGGAATAAAATATGATTCAATAGGATTTTCTCAGCAGCCAGATGAGGGTTGTAGAGGCTTTGCGAAACCTTTCCTTTTCCTAGCTTAAAAAAAAATATATATTTTTTATATCAGGGCTACAAAGGCCAATCAAAATGACCAGTAGGTCGATATCTTCACCCACCACTGTCACATGTTCATTTGTGTCTACAACAGTTTAGCACATTGTTGCCGCTTGGAATGTAAAGCGGCTTTAACCGCTTTTTAACTGAGTTATTTTGATTTTTTGCAATCTAGCCATAATATTTGAGTCAAAACGTGAATTATCCGTGTGACTCGGTCTTTATTTTAATTAACTTAAATACTAGGGGAAATTAATTGAAAACCTTTCAATACAAATCTAAAAAGTGGGTTTTGCAGTCACACCGGTACAAATTGACAATTTTCAACTTGCCCTTGAGACCGAACGGTTCGTCTGTACACTAACCAAAATAGTGACATTTGTACAGAACTTTAAGTACTTTAATTTCTGTAAACAGACCATTAACTAAAAGTTAACAGTTTTCGAGTTTTAAGCAAAAAACCGGAAAAAAAGCAAAAAAAAGAGATTTTTTCTGGTTTTTTAAATGTTGCGTCACGAAATTTTGTCCGCAAACCTCAGATTCAGATTTAGCACCCCAAAACACATATGGAATGAAAAAATCAGAACTTCTCCAAAACTTTCCTACTAGTATTACTTTACAGTACAAATTTACTTAATTATGATGACAGTAAAATTCTCATGTTAGTAATTTTATAGCAAATCATGAGGAAAAATCAGAAAAAAATCTCATAATACTATCTCGACATGGTATTTGGAGTTACATTTAGATTACTTTCAATAGATACCAAATTCTGATTTTATATGTTTGTTATTTAAAAATCATCAATGATGTATGCTCAATATGTTACTGACTAACTAATAGTGCTATTTTCCTTTTATTAACTTCCTCTTAATATGGGTAACCAGATCCTACTGCATTCTGTCGAGGAATTTGCGACATGATTGGTCTCATTAAGCTTAATTAGAGCCCCTTCTTTGATTTTTCTCTTTTTCCCATCTGTTTCTTTTATGACTATACTTGAATCATTCCATTGAACCCGATGTTCTTTTCCCATGCATGTTTACATATATGAGATCTATCAAATTCTCTATTCTTAATATATTGATGTTCACTTATTCTAACATTTAATGGCCTTGATGTTTCACCTAAATAAAACTGATCGCATTCAATTCTTTATTCTGTCTTGTTCATTGTTAGGTTTAGTTTTAGATAAAATAGATCTCAATGTGTTTAATGTTTTGAATGGTTTTGAAATGTTAAATTTATTTTCTATCTATTTAAGTTTTTCTGATAATCCTTTTATGTATGGTATTGTTATTTTCATCGTATCATTCCTTGTGTATGCTATAGTATGTCGTTCTAAGTTGTTCCATTCTATTCGGTCGACTGTTGAAAATTCTCTATATATAAATGGTAAAGGATAATAATTTTTTAATAAAACAGATATTAACAAATGTTTTTCCTCTAAGAACGAATTTTCGTTAGCACAAGCAATTATGGTTCTATCGTATAATGATTTAAGGATTCCCTCTTTAATATTGATATTGTAATTTGATTTGTAATTTAAATATCTGTTGGTGTGTGTTGGTTTTCTATACACCTGAGACACATATCCAGTATCGTTCTTAGAGATTAAAACATCCAGGAACGGTAGTGTGTTATTATATTCCTTTTACATAGTAAATGTTATTGTCTCTTCTTTATCGTTTATTTCATTCAGGAATGTGTCCAACAACTCATGTGATCGATGAGGCCATATTGAGAATACATCATCTACATATCTCCATCATACTGTGGGTTTTAAATTTTGTTTAGAAATAATATTTATTCCAAAATCTTCCATAAATATATCGGCTAATAATGGAGATAAACTAGAGCCCACTGCTGGATCAAAATGACACAATTTCCTGTAAAATTCCATTTCGGTTTGTGACAATATTTCCTTTTGAATTTTAGATCTTTTGACCATTTTCCTTCAAAATTTTCTTTGTATTTGCTTTGTTTGTTGTCTGTGTAGAACCTTAAGACTTTTATTTTCTTTTATTGCATTTTTAATCTCATTCTCATTTTGTTTTCTTGTATGTTTCCTAATATCTTTCATGATGTCCCCATTTATTGATCTGCATCTAAACCCAAACGTTTATCAGTAGAATACCGCTATCAAATGATACACGTTTATCTTTGCCACTTACGTCTACAATACCTAAAAATATAGTACAAATCGGTATTTTTGATTACAAACTTTAGTTTTAGAATTGAAATATTTAAAAATGCTTTATTATCAAAAATATTAGAAAAAAATGGGAGTTGAAAGTTACTCAGTGTATCACAAACAAATTTGTTACATGATCTTTTCATATAATTTCAACTTCATCTTCATCTATTAGTATATGTGTATGTATTATGCTATCTTTTATAAGCCCACTTTTTATCGTTTCTCTGCTTTTTATCTATTTTTATTAATTTCATAGTATCTATACTTTAACCTACATTACCTAAAATTTTATTTTGTTTCAGAAAAATCTTGTCCACCACTAGTTAAATTTAGAAAAGGATGTAACGTTTGTATCTGCAGTCCCAACGGTTTTGATTATACCTGTACACAGAATAAATGCCATCCAACGGTACGTATTTTAAATGAGATATGATTTATTTATTTTACTCCAGTTGTCAAGGACAACTGGAAAACTATTTTGCCGATTTGGCGTGAGGCTAATTACCAGTCCTACCGGTAATGATCCAGTATAAGCACCAGGGCCGTATTCAGGTTATTTAGCCCAACCAGAGAAATGGATTCAGCAGCGGGAACTTTCACCATGGAAAGTTCTGGCAATCTATTTGTAAACCAACCATCAAAATTATATTCTTCAGCTCATAATCAACTTACAAATCAATTTTCAAACAAAAATCAAGCAATTCCACTTCACTGACCCCAAAACTCTAATAGTGAAGTTTACCTTAATGTAGTAACTTCTAAAGTAGTAACTTTTATTTCTATAATTATAAATGATCGTATTTGTATCTTCTTTACCAGTGAACAAACAGTCGATGAGTTTCTAGCAAACGACAACGGAATTGTAGTAATTAATCAAGAACGTATTCAAGCCCGAAGACTAATAACTCCAAATGAACGACTGATTATTTCCAACGTATGTCCAAGTATTTCGCACAGCGGTATAGAAGAACAACTAAAAAACTTAAGTATACATCTAATAACTCCAATTGACTTTCTGAGGATAGGGAATTCAAATCCAGCATTCAAGCACATCTTCAGTTTCCGACGATACACTTTTATAGCGCCAACTAACTTAGGCAAATTACCTGAATAATTAACCATGAGGATAACAATTATCGAATTTTGTTTTCCATCGAAAAGCAATCTTGCTACTTATGCAAGCTGCAAGAACATTTTTCATCTCAGTGTCCCAATAAAAATAATCAGACTCCTTTAAACAACACCCAAAATAATGTTCATCTAAACTCTCAACAGGAAGTACACCAATCAGCTCCTCTTTCGACAATTTCTTCTACACAATCCTCTCCTAGTGAGACTGAAACTACAGTACAACAATCAGCTCATTTGTCAATAAATTCCTCTACACAATCCTCTCTCACTGAGGCTGAAACATCTAGAAAAATTATTCTCTTATCTCTACATAAATAAGTATACAGCCACGAAGCAAAAAACCAAAAACTCAACAAGAAAACAACAGAAACCTAGATGAAGATCTTATCAAATGCACCAGTCAATTCTTTAACGAAATCTCCAACAACGTACACTTTTTTTTATTAATACCTGCGCGGTGTTTGTATACTGCTATCTTGTCACAAATGACCAATTATCAGTTATTTTCTGACCTAACATAATAACAGCAAATACTTAAATCTAAGGGCTTACCCTATGGCTTACTCTTATTTTATCTATTAACTAATGCACTACAACTAGCATGCAATAACTTCACAGCACTATACTCTGCTTTTTACACTAAACTGTTACACATTTACACTAGCTCAAATGGTTTTGTCCTTATGAGTCTTCTCTTTAATTCAGTGTTGTCAAGAAGCTGGATTGCCTCGACATTCACATGACTATGCAGCCTCTGCTCGTGACTTGCTGCTGTTCTCTTAATTATTTCGATCACAGTTTCCATACCCAGGTCCTGGTGGAGGTTGCTGTTACGGATATACCAAGGAGCATCAACAATGTTTCTCAGTACTTTATTTTGAAATCTCTGGATAATAAGTAGATTACTAGCTTTGGTACAGCTCCAGAGTTGGCACCCTTATACCCATACTGGCCTCAGTACTTGCTTGTAGATGGATAATTTATTATGAATTGACAATGTTGAATTTTTTCCAATCAGAAAATACAATTTCTTATATCTAATATCAAGCTCCCCTCTTTTCTTTTTGACATGGACTTTCCAGCGCAGCTTCGCGTCTAGGGTGATGCCCAAGTATTTTGCTGATGTTGCATAAGGAATTCGGGTATCATTTATTGGGAATTATAAACTGGGAAATTTTCTATTTTTTTATTTGTGAAGTTAATGTGTGCAGATTTAGTCTCATTTAATTTTATTCGCCATTTTCTAGTCGAGTTATGTATTTTATTTACTGATAGTTGCAATTTATCAGTCGCTTCTTCACTAGTGTCTCGTATCGCTAGTATGGCTGCATCATCCGCGATGGTGGCAATATTATTTTGTTCTAGCTCTGGAATGTCACACGTATACAATAGGTATAGGACCGGACCTAAGACACTTCCTTGTGGCACGCCAGCTTTGATCTCCCTTAAGTCGGTGTACACTTCTTCTTGTTTTACTCTGAAATATCTATTCGCAATGTATGATTTCAAGATTTCTGAATACTGTTTAGGCAAGAACGTTCTTAGTTTATAGTTTAAACCGTCATTCCAGACTTTATCAAACGCCTGTGCTACATCCAAGAAGATTGTAGAGCAGACTTTATTTTCTTCTAATGTTTTTTCTATTATATTCATTATTCTGTGAACTTGATCTATAGTGGAATGTTGATTTCTGAAACCAAATTGATGATTTGGTATAAGATTTTTTCTTTCTATTATTGGTTTTAATCTTTTTAATAGAAGTTTTTCAAATAGTTTTGACATTACCGGAAGGAGGGATATTGGTCGATAGGATGTCACTTCATTAGGAGATTTACCTGGTTTGGCGATCATAATTACTTCGGCTACTTTCCAGAGTCTGGGAACATATCTCAATCTAAAAGCAGCATTTATTAGGTGTGTCAGCTTAACTATGGCTTTTCTTGGTAGATTTTTTAATAATTCTCCCATTATGAGATCATATCCTGGAGCTTTCTTAGGACTTATATTCTCTTTTATCTCTGTTGATACTTCTCTAAGTGATGTCAATGTTATTCTTTTATCAGTTTGGAATGGTTCTTCCCATCTCAGTTTCTGAACTCAGTGCTTTCTGAACGATCTGCAAATCGTTCTGCTTTCTGTTCGTTACTTCTAGCCCAGTTGCCGTTTTCCAACTTGATAGGAGGGGGATGAATAATTGGTCTCTTCAATCTTTTTGTTGCCTTCCATAAAGAATAATCTGTGTTCTGGTCAGCTGTTAAATTACTTAAAAAATAATTAATTGTTGAATTTTTTATATTCTGTATCTCCCTTTTTAATTTTTGTGTAGCATTATTTAGACTAGTTTTGTGTCGTGGAGCTCTGTATTGCTGCCATTTTTTTCTTAACTTCCTTTTTTCTACTATGAGTTCTCGGATTTCTTTTGGATAGTTGTTCCCTTTTGTTCTAGAAGTTATTGTGGGAGTATTTTCCCAAGCTGACTGTTGGATATTTTTTATAAAAACTTCTAATTCGTCATCAAGTTGCCTCGTATTTCTTAATGGAACAGCAAGATTAATTTTGTGTTCAAGGTTTATTTTGAAGCTCTCCCAGTCAGTTTTTTTATTAGTCAATATTGGATTGAACTCTTTTTTAATCACTGTATCACTCATAGTTAGAATTAGCGGTGAGTGATCAGAGTTCATGTCCCAGCCGTCATTGATATCCAGATAGTTAGCTGAGATATTTTTGTAAATAAAGAAATCTATCAGGTCTGGAATTTTGTTCCTATCGGTAGGCCAGTATGTTGGTCTACCAGTAGAGATTACTTCACCCTTTTGTTCCTTAACAGCTGACAATAAATGTATACTTAACACAGGAAGAACTTATTGCCTTCTTTAAAAATGCGCATGGTTCTTCAGATCCTCCCAGCGTCACCAGAACTTACTCGGAGGATATCCAAGGATTGATAGACTTTTTAAAGAAAAATTACAGAACAAATTTTAAGCGGTACTTCTACCAATGATCCTAGCGATTCCTCTCCGGAGACTTATTAATTAAACTAGTTTTAATTTTATTATTCAATGGAACCTAAATGGGACCATGCCTATTGAAAAGATCTTAAAATTCTTATAAGTAAATTTTATCCATCAATTTTATGTTTGCAAGAAACACATTTCAAAGGAAATTCGTGTCACAATCTTAAAAACTTCATGTCCAGACTATGATTAGGACACATCAAGATCACACATGATTTCCTACTACAGAAGTAACCCAAACCTTTGTGTTACGCGTGTGATAGTGATCTAACAGTACATCACATATTAGTGGAGTGTCTGTTATATGCATTTGAAAGATAATATGAACAGTTAACCACAAGAATAAAAGACAAATAGAGAAATAAAATGCAAAGTAAATATAGTGACTGCGCTCGTACCATACTTTTTTTTGGTTTCTTCAATTTTTATATATTTATGTTATCTGTAAAATCGACCATTGCTAATAACACTTGTGATTGAAGCAGTTTCAAATAAAATAATAAAAAAAAACTTCTTTTTCTAGTACTTACCTCATAACTTATGTACCAAATGATATAACTATGTAAATATTATTAGTTAGTTCTGAAATTAAAAAGAATAATTTTCTTTATAGAAACGGAGCGACAACTTGGAAATGTTATTATCGGATGAGGATTATTATAAGGATGATATGAGCAATGACATCAAGTAAGTAAATGTTTAGATAAATCGTCACAAATATGACATCAAAATTATTTTATATACTTATATGCTTTGGTTTTTTTGGTTAAAAGTGCTTAAAATACTCTGGATATTGATACTCTAACTTTACAGCACTTAAAATATGGTCTAAATTATAAATATTCACATAGAGTCACATATCTGTATGGGGACAGAAAAGTTTTTATTTAAGATTCAGAAAATACAGTATTCGATTATTAACACATAATTTCATGGAATGTAGAAGTGCTATATTTTTATTAATTCTAATTTATTGTTCTTAATTTAATTTACTAAAGGTTCTATTTATAACACTCACAAATTTATTAAAGTCTTTATTTGTACTAATTTATTTTACAATAATTTATTACGATTGTACATTTAACTACGCGAGCGTGAATTTGTCTTCTTACTAACTAACTGCCCTTCCAAATAAAATGCTTCATTTATATACACAAACTGCCGTTATCTAGAGGAGATCGATGACCTTCTTGATTAGAATGGGACCCCATCGAATAGACTGGTATTTCGGTGAAGGTACTAGAAGGCAGTCGACGGCTGAAACTAGTTTTTCAACTGCTTGAAAAACCTCGAGTCGTGGATGACTCATCAAAATTGGGGTCTAGAGGTTTCTGGTAAAAAGCGTCGAAATGACTAGAACAAAAACAAAATTAGTCATAATATATTTACAGTTTTATACACCATAATATTTATTATCGTAACAGAAGGTTTAGTACTAAGTTCAGTTCACGTTAAAATTTATACTGCAGAATTGGTACTACAGTAATTAAAACTATTAAACATTTTACAATCATTTCATCATCCAAAGATATCAGTTTATTTGTAGTAACTTAATCTTTAAATGAACATTCCAAATACACTGTTTTGGCCCTTCTAAGAACACTGTTTCAGTTTTTGTTCTAAATCACTTTCAGTATTTGCTACTAACATTTCTAATCAGCATACATTATATTTCTTGGAATGTCATCCTGTAGTTTCGCTGTTATTTAATTAAACACTAATAAGAATAAATAAGGACTAAGCACCGATCCCTGGTGGAATACTTCTTTCACATGAAATTTATCAATCTCTTATACATCTGTCCTCTTACTACTATTCTCTCCCTAGCGCTAAGAAATCTCTAAACAAACGTGTGGAATGGGTCATAAGGATACTGAATAATTTAGACATCGGATTATATAGACTAACAAACAGGCAAAATATTCATACAGTATGCTTAAATTAAATACTGAAATTTATCAAAAATAAATTCATTTGATGTGTAAGACTTAATGTACGAATTCTTAATAAATAAATAAATCTTAATTAAAAAATGTACGAATCGCAAATGAAATAGTTCCAGGAGTAAAACAAAAATTTAATGAAAACTATGTAAACGCAAATGGAGAACTCATGGCTAATCCTTGTGCTTTTAACGAACTGAGAATCAATAATACATTTTTCGACCATAAGCTCCAGTATAAATATATATTTGAAAATTCCAGGGGCATTAATCTATGATTGATTTTATAGTCACTAATAGAAAAATCCACCCAAAGCAGATTCTAGATATCCGAACTTTAAACTCGCAGGGACGCAGGGAGTGAACACAAACTAGTACTAGCAAAAATAATAATGAAAATATCACAAAAAGAGGCTATCACAGAGGATACAGCTGAGACAAATAGACGACATTGAAGATATAAACGCGAGTTAGGAGAAAATTAAAAACAACATTGAAGAAGCAGCAACAGAAGCTCTAGGAAAACGCAAAGTCATACTGAACAAAATAAACAACAACAATACACCGTGGTTAAGAAAATAAATAAAAGAGAAATGTAAAGAGAAACGAAAGGCCTACACAAAGTACAAAACATGAAATATTACAGAATCCTGAGACACCTAGAGAAGAATGCGAAATAAAACAAAGCAGTTGGTAAGAAGAACAAAAAATGAACAATGGGAATGGGTTACAAAAAGGATGGAAAGCGACTTCTATGGTACATAAAAACAAATATGGAGATTCGTAAGAAACCAACAAAAAGAAATTGCAGAATTGAAGGAATACAATAACATACCCGCAAACGAATGGAAGAGATACTTGACAGAACTGTTTAAAGGAAAGGAAAATAGTAATCAACACAATAACGTACCTGAATTAAGACACGAAATAGAAATCAGTTTTCAGAAAGTAAAGATAGCCATAAATTCACTCAAAAATAGAAAGTCGCCAGGACCAGATGAAATAACCACCGCCTTCAAGAAAGGAAGTAAAGAAGACCCAAACAAATTATAGAGGGATAAATCTACTGAACACTGCACTTAGCTTACCACAAAAGTCCTACCCAACAAAATCAATAAACTAACAACATTATCAGATAAAGAACAAGGATTTAGATTCGGAAGATCCTGCGTAGACGCCGTATTTACACTAAGACAAATCACAGAAAAGACCATCGAGTACAATAAACCAGCATCTTCTTCTTCTTCATGTGCCTTGTCCATTTCGAACGTTGGCAATCAACATGGCTATTCTGACTTTGTTTACGGCAGATCTGAATAGTTCAGCAGATGACAATCCAAACTATTGCCGCAAGTTGGAGAACACACGAGTATCTTCTCCTCCCTGGACCGCTTCTGCTCTCTATTTTCCAATGAACGATCAGCTGTAGTACTCTATATTTGTTATGTCTCATAACGTGACCCAAGTATTCCAACTTTCTTTTCTTTATACTTATTCCTACCTCTCTCTTTACCTATCCGGGGTAGTACCTCTTCGTTGGTCACGTGCTCAGTCCAGGATATACGTAATATACGTCGGTAAGCCCACATTTCGAAGGCTTCTACTTTTTTCATCAATGTTGCGGTCATTGTCCACGCCTCCATTCCATATAACAAAACCCGGAATACATATCATTTCAGAAGTCGAATTTTGAGAGGTAGGGTGAAGCTTTTAGAGGTGAAAATTTGCTTCATGCTAGTGAACGATGCTCTTGCCTTTTCTACTCTTATACGTATTTCCTTCGTTTGATCTTAATTTGAGTTAACTGTTGTTCCCAAGAAGATGTACAAATCTACGTGTTCAATTCTTTCATTATCTAATATCAGTTGCTGTGATGGTTGTTGGGTTTTGCTTGCTAACATCCATTTGGTTTTTGTGATATTTAGTTTGAGTCTGTATTGTGCACTTGTTTTTTGTATCTTACTCATTAGGCAACTCAGTTCCTCCATGCATCTTAAACAAGGATAGACAGTCTCTTTCCTTGTTTAAGAAGTCAAATTTAGTTAGGTTATGTTATTGATTGTCCCAACTGTCACATGAAATTTTATTTATATTGAAATCTTTTACCAATTGTGTCACTTTTTAGACTATTATAGTTAATATTTAATTAAAACTTTCTCGTCTGAAAAATATTTTATAGCTATTGTTAATAAGTGTTGGAAAATTTAAATTTAGCGCCTTTGCATTTCCGGATATGTCCGCCATCAGAGGCCACTTTTTTGGTCTCCTTTTCATAACGATTAGATTCCCTCTTTTATCTTTTTGCTCGATGGCCCTGTCGTACCCCTTTCTTGATCTCAATTTTATTGGTCAATGTAGATCCTTTCACTTTAGCTGTTTGACCCCAATAGAGACTCGCTATTGTTCGAATGTCTCTGTAGTCGACTCCGATCTTATGGAGAACTTTAATTATCTTTTCGTGCTTTACGTTATCAAATGCTTTTGCGTAGTCTATAAAGCATATGTACACGTCTTTGTTCATATCTCTGCAGCGCTGGGTGAGTACCTGTAGACTAAAAAGTGCTTCTCTTGTCCCAAGAGAATTCCGAAACCCAAACTGCGAATCTCCAATGTTATCCTCGCATTTTTTGCTTATTCTGTTGTAAATAACCTTGGTGTATGCCTTCGAAATGTGGTTAATTAGACTTATCATCCGATGTTGATCACAAGACTTTGCTTTTGGTTTTTTCGGTATGGCAACAAAAGTTGACTCTAGCCAGTCTTCAGGAAACTCCCCGCTGTTATAAATATTGTTAAAGAAACCGTAAAATAGTTTCGAAACACAATTCAGATTTCCGCTTTAATCTGTGCTTTCTAAAAATTGCAAAGCAAAACAGACGTTGATAAAGGTGTTAAAAGAGACGTGGGAAATCTAAAATTTGCATTCCACGACACGTCTTTTCAACTAAGCAGAAATCCTTAGCGAATTGGTTGCTAGTACTCGTACAGAGTAAATCCGAAAAAAGTGAAAAGACAGTAAATATTTGATTTCACGCAAACAGCGCCATTGTATCTGTTGATACGTATTTCGACCTAATAGGTCTCATCAGAACAGTTATTCAAAGGTGTTCTCAACGTGAAAGATCAATATTTTCTGTCTTTTAAGAAGCAACACTAAAATGGCTTCAATACGGACGCAATAGCGACATCTGACAATAAAACCGTAAAATAGTTTCGAAACACAATTCAGATTTCCGCTTTAATCTGTGCTTTCTAAAAATTACAAAGCAAAACAGACGTTGATAAAGGTGTTTATCAACCCTTTTTAGACCCTTTATAGCATTCTCCACTTCTGATTTTAGAATAGAAGGGCCAGCATCATCATTGCTCAGTGTACACCCACTAGGACGGTCATCATTAAACAGTTGTTCCACATAAGTTTCACAGATTCTAACTATTTTGTCGGGGTCTAGTTGTAGATTTCCATTATCATCGCACAGCCCTTTCGATAAAATATTGTAGTTTTTCTTTGTTGTGAGTACCTTTATCTTCTTATGCATATTGTGATAGTCGTATACCTTTTCGCACTGTTCGATTTCTTCGCATCTCTCCGAGAACCAGCATATCTAGGTTTTATAGACTTGACAAAGGCTTTTCATCGCATCCAACTCGAAGACGTCTTACACCTACTGTATAAACAGTAGAAACATACCAATCAATATTATACAAACCATCGAAAAAATTTAGTTCCATAATCGAATACAGGCAAGGATAAACGGAAAACTAACGCAGTGTATATCAGTACAAAACGGAGTCAGATAGGGTAAATGAGTAAGTAAGTAAGCCCACTTCTCTTTAATATAATAATGGACGAAGTAATGTTAACATTACAAACAATGGTCGGAATACAAAAGAAATAGCTACTAGAATTGGTCAAGGAAATTCAGCAATACGTCAACTGAATAGTATACTTTGGAATAACCACATCACCCGAAACACAAAAATTTGGATATACAAAAGTATCATAGAAAGCATTGCTACATATGGTTCAGAGCTTTGGGTAATAAATAAAAATGACGCATCCAAAATAAAAGTAATGGAAATGAATTATTGGAGAAGATGTTACCAACTCACTAGAAGAGATAGAGTAAGGAATACTGAAATCAGAGAGCGTATGGGCATAGACATTGACATCCTGGAAACTATAGAATGCAAAAGGCTGAAATAGTATGGCCATGTAGAAAGGATAAATGATCAACGATGGCCAAAGAGAATGTTACAGTGGATCTCCACCAACCGCAGGAAAAAGGGAAGACCAAGAAGATCGCGGAGACAAGAAGTAAAAGGTGCAATGGAAGATAGGGGTCTACAAGTAGATGACTGGAACAATCGCAAGCGTTGGAAGCTAGATTGCGAGCAACGGCGGCAGCTGTAATAAACTCGTTATATGTATATACGAAACAATACAAGAAGTACGTAAAAGTCATGGTTAGAGAATGGTAAACAAAGATATTCAAATATTATGTTATGCAGAGACGACACCGCATTAATCGCCGAGGCAGAAGACGAGCTCCAAAGATCAACACACATATTCAATACAACAGCCAAGAAATATAATATGATAATATCAGAAGAAAAAAAAAAAATGTATAACAACATATAAATACCCAATACGATGTAAAATCGAAATTGATGGAAAAATAATAAAGCAGAAAGCAAGGTTTAGATATCTGGAATAGATATGGAATATAGAATAGTTAAGGAGATGTTGAAGAAGAAGCACGACAATAAAGCTTAAAAGCAAGTAAACCGGCTGGATCTTTTAATGACACAATCTGGAAGAACAAACACCTAAGAGAAGACACAAAAACAAGAATCTATAAACAACAATTAGACCTATATTAAGATACACGGCAGAGACAAGACCTGATACATCAAGGGAGTGCGCCCACCAAAGTGGCGTGGCAGTGGCAAGTAGCAAGTAGCACGCGTCTAGCATAATGTAACCAATCCTAACGAATGATTAGAATAAATGACGTTACTGTCATGGTTACTGTCATTTTGGTGTAAACTGAATCATTCGTTTTCATTGGTTACATTATGCTAGACGCGTGCTACTTGCTACTTGCCACTGCCACGCCACTTTGGTGGGCGCTCGCCCTAAAACGAGACGACTACTAGAAACAACAGAGATGAAAATACTCCGACGAATATCAGGGAAAAGTCTGTTGGATAGGGAGAGAAGCGAAAACATAAGAAGAGCATAAAAGACATAAATGGATGGGCGACAAAACGGAAACAGGAGGGGAACGAACACATTAGTAGAATGGCAGATAATAGGAGTAGCACAAGATATGTCACCAAATGGACGAAAAAGTATTACCAAAAAAAAGATGGTGCGATAATTTAAGCAATTTAGGAGGCTAATATTGAAGAGGAAACAGGCTTTAAAGCCTACATACAGGAAGGAAGAAGAAGAAGATGTGTAAGAGGTAAACTCATTGCATCTATTAAACATTTTCTGATAAATCCTGGAATGTCATCAGATCCACAAGATCTAGTATTTTTAGTTTTTAATTGGTAAATCATATAATTTGTCCTAGGGAAATGGATATAAAACCATTTTGTTGTTGATATACTGTTATACCAATATTATCAAGTACATATGTAGTATAATTAAAAGAAAAACACTCTAGGTAGACTTATAAAAATCTCTACAATTAAGTATTTCTAAAACAAAATACAGTGGGTACAAAAAGTAATCTATCTTGCTAATATTTCGATTCTTGTTAGACTAAACATTTTCTATTAAATTTTTTCGGTTATAACAATTAAATTTGTAACTTCTTTGTTGCAGTTCAGAATCTACCTCTGACTCAGCCGAAATGGACGACTTTGATAGTGAGGAAGATATCAGTGATAGCGATGAAATTACCGATGATAAGGAAGTCCGTTTTAGAGATAACAACGAACTTGACAGCGACGATTTGAGTGATGATGATGATGATGATTTTGATTCAGACAGTTTTTACGAAAACTTTGATAGTGAGGATGATGATCATTATGTCGGCAAAAGAAAACCTGCTCCTTGGAGAAAACATAAACAGTTCCCTTAAGATATTATTTTGTAAAAAACTATTAAAATGAGGATTATTTAAAAAATAATTAGTATTTTTTGAATTATACTAGTTATATATTTATTAAATGAAAAAAATAAAGAACAGTTATTATTTCTTTGTGTAGTTTGATTATATATACATATAGCCCAGTCTGGTTAAAGAAGGGAAGAGAAACCCAGGACGACGCAAAATGTCCTGGCTAAGAAATTTGAGAGAGTGGTTCGGCTGCAGCTCATTAGAATTATTCAGAAATGCGGCCAACAAAGCTAAAATAGCGATGATGATTTCCAACCTCCGCTAGGAGAAGGAACCCGAAGAAGAAGAAGAAGGTTAAAAAAGGGGGTTACTAGATGATCAATAGATAAAAAGATACTCCTATTTTTACCTTGCGTTTTTTTTTAAACAATAATTTATGGTCACAATTTGATTTTTTGTCTATAAGTTTTTTCCCTTATATTTTAAGAATATTTTTCCCTTATCAAGAATATCTTTATTTTCTGGTTTTTTTCAATTAAAATTGATAAATAATTTACGGAGATATTTGCAAAAAAGCAGTTTTTTTGCACTAATTCATAAATTTTATTAATTTTTTTTATTAACAAAATAAAATGTTTTTAATACTTTTCACTAGCGAGAAATTACCGTCCTTTAATTTGTGCAAAATTTCTCTCTGATCGGTCAAATAATTTAAAAGTTATTAAGTTGTTTATCCCTGAGACTAATTATTTAAACTATTGAACTTGCCTAATGAATGATACTAGACACATTTAGCAAATTTCATAGGATTCTTTAAGACTTTAACTATCTCAGAAGTTAAATGCGTATTGCGTTTTCATCGAAGTTATTTACAAAATAAACGTTTGAAAAAGGGGTATGTTTTTACCTATAAACAATTGTAATAACTATATTTTTTAAGCTACAGACTTGTACGTACAACCATTGGATAGCTGGTAAAAAAACTCACATAAAAAATAAAAAACCTTCTATGACCAATAGGAACGAAGTTAGCGACTATTTTAAAAAAAATCATATCCTTATTGTTTATGAACATTAAGAAGTAAAATGTGCATAAATTTATAACAACATTCATCTAATTTTTCGAAACTTACAGCCCTTCGAAACGAAGGTACTTTCTAAAGATCGACATAGGAAAGTGGAGAGGAAAGCTGTTTCAGCTCCGTTTTTTTATTCTGGGGTAGCTCATCGAAATATGAATAACTACATATGTAGTTTTCACTGGCCGGAAAATATGGGAAACCTCGGAAAAATTGAGTCCATTTGAAATTCACCGTAAAAACTTACTTTTTTTTGATTTGGCTGGAATAGTCTGTCGCAATATTAATAATACTCTTACTTACTTACTCCGTGGCGTTACAACCCTACGTGGATTTTAGCCGACTCGACAACATGCCTCCAATGTTTTCTGTCTTGAGCAACCTCCATCCAATTCTCCACGCCCATAGTGCTTAGGTCTCCTGCTAGTTTATCTCGCCACCGGAGACGAGGGCGTCCGAGTGGTCTCCTTCTAGTTGGGAATTTCTCCCACACCAGTCTTACTGTTCGTTCGTCAGAATGTCTTCTTAGGTGACCTGCCCATTGGAGTCTTCTGGACTTTATTTCTTTTATGATGTTGGCGTCTGGGTAAAGTTCTTCAAGCTCTTTGTTAGTTCTTATGCTATATTGTCCTGATGCTTCATCCAGCACAGGACCAAAGATCTTCCTTAGGATTTTTCTTTCCCAAACACATAGTCTCTCTTCGTTTGCCTTTGTTATCGTCTACGTTTCGCTTCCATACATCACAACGGGTCGTATTATTGTTTTATAGACTGTAGCTTCGTACGTCGTGTTAGTTGTATTGATATTATAAGGTTTTGGAGGGCAAAAAGATATCTGTTGCCGGCCTGAAGCCTGTTGTTTATTTCCTGTGATCCGTTATTTTCTTTAGTTATTGTTGTTCCAAGATACTTGAATTCTCTAATGCGCTCAAGGTTAAATTCATCGATGGTGTATTAAGTATTCGTTATCGAAGTATTAATAATGATGGCATAATTTTCACCCTCCGTAAATCTCGGAAAATCCCGGATATACCCGAAAATCCTTTATACAGCAGATATACCTGAAACAAAATCGAGAAAATTTGCTTATGCTGACGACCTGGCCATTGGCTTCCAAGATAATAGTAAAGAAGCAGGAGAACGAGCTCTAAACGAGGACTTATCTACACTAAGTAACTATTTTAAGAACTGGCGCTTATGTCCTAACACAAGCAAAACTGAAACCTGTCTCTTTCACCTGTCGAATCAACTTGCGGGCGATACTCTCAATGTAACTCTAAATGACACAGCTATCAAACATAACAACAACCCCAAATATCTAGGCGTCACACTTGATAGAACACTCACCTTCAAAAGTCATCTTACAAACGCAGCCGGTAAACTAAGAACACGAAATATGTAAATTGGACATTAATATTTAGTGTCATTCATTCTATTCATTCTATTTTTACTATTTTTAGTGTTTGAATAATATATATGTGTATATTATTGTAATTGTATTTGTATATTTATCGTACTGTGAAAGTCCATACGCTAAATAAATAAATCCCGGAAAATCAACATATATTTTTTTCATTTTACATCAGTCATGTAATAATACTTATATATTTTATAAATTAAATTTCAGATAAATTTTTACACATTATATTAATATATTCCTTATATTAATTATAATTGTTTGAATTTTTATAATTAACAATATTGATTTTTATTCTATTTTTCGTACAAATATGATATACAATATTAATCTAATCTGCGTTACTGCTTTGACAAAATAAGTCAATTTTTTCATTTCTTGTCTTATTAAATGTTTATTGAACTTTACTTTTTTATTTTCTTTACATACATTTTTTTAAAAGTTAAAATTTGGTTCATTTAATCGACTTCACTGTCAGCTCTAAACCTTTTTGTTGCAGGTTGTTTGTCTTCACTTATTAAATTAGTCTATAAATATATGTACATCTTCAGAATCACTGTCAATTTATTATGCACAAGTTCGTACAATTCTAATATCGTTTTATATTCATCAGTTATTTTTTATGTTTTCTGGTTTACAAGAAATAAATAATATCATATTAAAAGTAAACAAAACTTATATAGTACTTTAAGTTAAAAAATAAGATAAATAATACTGAAAGATAATTTCTTCCGATTTAACGTACAATGTAATCAAAAAACTTAAAGAATTACCTCGTAAAGAATACAAAACGACTAAAAAATAATCTGCTCCTTTTGTATGGAAATATGTTTCAGATGTCTAAAATAAATCAAAAAAAGATTTTTTTTTATTAATGAAAAATCAGAATATTGCAAGCTTATATAGAACGAATTTTTTAAAAAATATATAAAGTTATAACAAGCATATTCGTATTTCTAAAATCTGTAAAGACTTTTTATTTTATTAAGTTGAAATTTAATTCTGATTAAAAACAATAAAGTAAAAGCAATAAAAATAGTTCAAAACAAAGGTTTTTGAATTATATATAACAATAATTTAGCCATTTATAAAACAAAAATTAAAAAGGAAAATACTTACTTCGAAACTACTACAGCTTGAACAAGTTAATGCCATAGTCTGTTGTTTATTTTGAAATAATCTATAATAAATAATATTTTTCTCTGATTATACAGTTGAAAATAATTAATTTTTCATTCAATAGTTTTGAATATTACTTACAATTTTCAATCAAAATGTTTAGTTAAAACTTTTTTGTTCAAAATACACAATAGTACATTGTTTACCGGGTAGGAAAAGCTTAACATTCCTGGACGACTGTGAAGATTGCTAAGTCGAGGCGCAAGCCGAGACTTAGCAACACAGAGTCCAGGAATGTGGCTTTTCCTACGAGGTAAACATACTATTTTTCCGCAAATCGTTTAAAATTCGACAGATATTGATTGATTAAAAAAAAAAACGCGATAATTTTATTCCCAAATAAATGGTGCTTTGAAATTCCTAATAAAATTACTTGGGTTACTATGGAAACGTATTGAGGTTGAATTGTCAAACTTATAAATTTAATTGCTGGTGTTTTCGAAAGTAAAATGATAAGTGATGATGAAATTTCCATTCCTGGGAATGGAAATGTTTTCAAAATATAAATTAATTCCTTATAAGCAATGTGTTTTCTATTATTTATGTAGAACACTAACAACTGTACGGAAATATCATTTCCTTACAGTAAGGAAATGACATTTCGTTACAGTAAGGAAGTCCTGACTTTTTCTTCAAGAAATTTTGACAGGAATGTCAAAATTTCCTGGCGATTTGCGGAAAAATATTTTTCGGACACGGAACTATTTTTTCAGAACCTGTTAAATTTGTTAGACGATCTGACCAATAAAAGCAAAAAGATTCTATGCGGTGACTTAAATAATAATTACGCTGTTGCTTGTACTACCGAAGTATCTTTGATCAATATATTCGGATAGTATGGTTTCACAATGCACGCTAATTCTCCTACAATTGTCTCAGATTTCTCACACCTTGATGTACGTTCTACAATTATTAATGCAGGACTCTCTGACCATGAAACAGTATATACTAAGTTTAACATTCTTAACAAACAATTCTCGAAAACCCAACGTTTAGGTAAGATTTTTTCAGTTCAGAACTTTCGTAAATTCCAAAATTTGTGCTTGACTTCTGGATGGCACTTTCCCTCTGTGGACGTGGACTACAATTTCAGTAATTTTTTAGATAAGCTTGTCTGTATTTTTAGTAAGGCATTTCCTTTAATTACAATTAAGTCAAAACATCACAAACCCGGACTATTAAGGACATTCGCATATCAGCCCAGAATATGCTTTCGCTACTGTACATCAAGAAATTTACTATCAATGTCTTTGTTACTGAAGTACAGACTAACCTATCCAAAACTTATTAAAACAGCTAAAAAATGTACCATGAGAATCGTCTGGGAATTTCTAAAAATGTTGCAAGGGAAACTTGGTCCATAATAAACGATCTTCGAAATAAAACTAACACAGCTCAAATATTTTCTCTTCCCAACCTTGAAAATCTAAATGAATACTTCGTTAATGTGAGTAAAAATATAACATCAGCTATTTTG